TACCTGTGAGAAGTTTGCCAAAAAACACCAGTCTTTTAGTCCAAGTTTTGATGTATCCCTTAAAGGCATCCGCCTTTGCGACCAGAGGGCACTTGAAGGGACATCCATCGCCGCATTTTGCATCGCCAGGCACGCATTGCGCAAAAGGGAGGGCCTGTGTGCTTGCTGAGCCTGTGTCAGGGCTCCAGGAGCGGTTCGGTTCGTTTTTTTTGTTTTTTTTTCTGGGGTGGTGGTGGTTGGTGGTGGTTGGTGGTGGTGGTGGTGGTGGTGGTGGTGGTGGTGGTGGTGGTGGTGGTGGTGGTGGTGGTGGTGGTGGTGGTGGCTGTGGTGCTGGAAATCAGATTATCCTTAGTTGGTGGGTTGGATTGGTGGGGATTTGAAGCCATGGTTCTTGCAGAGGGTAACGTGGGAAACCACCAAACCACCAATCAAAGCCTCCAATTGGAGGGAAGCTGAGAAAGGCCGGGTTTTGGAAATCCCTTTTACAGTGCTATAGTAGTTCGGCCCGTTTTTTGTGATACTGTGGATGGACGGATGGTTTTACAGATGGTTGAAAGTCGATGGCGCAATTCCACCATTTTGGTTTAGTCATCTCATCCCCTTGCCCAGGAAAAAATGGCAATGGTGTCGGCTACTTTCACCTTCTTGGCTATTGTAGGTCAGTTTTCTGTGATACCGTGGATAGTTATGCAATTCACATGCACTTCACGCAACCATCAAAATGCATTTTCTCTATACATCTGTGTTTCAAAGCCTGTCTCCCATTGAGTGCATCATAACAGAACATTTGTCTATAATATGTTCATACCGGTAATAGACAGATTAGTTCAAAATCAAACTTACTATCCGTTTATTGATCATCGATCTGTAATTTATAGGCAAGGCGCCAGTTGCGAGTAGTGATGTATCGGATAATGTATATAAGCCAGCCCAAAAAAAATGCCCCTCAGAAATGACGTGCCTCCCCAGAAATGGGGAGGGGGCGAGCATGCTCCCTGTCATGGAATCTGGGAACTCATTCGCCATTTGGTTACTTTCGGTGTGATGCCTCGGGATCAAGGATCAGCTACGTCACAGATGGGGGGGCCCCCCAACTGGATGTGATCCTTGGATTGCTTGTATTGCTGGTATTGTGTAGTTAGCGTTGGACGTTGGAAAGCTCCAAGCCATGAACCGGTGCCGCTTTGAACTCGGCCAGGGTGCTGCCGGCCCTGGCCACCTGCCGAGAGCTCGGCTGGTGCGAAGAATCCGCGCCGGTGGTGCTGAGCCTGGCATATCTCTCCCCGGACCTGGACAAGTGCACGGCCTTTGCGGCTCGCCCCGCACACAGAATCCGAAATCCGACATCACACGCAGACAGCGACGAACGAGCGAAATCCCGACGTTTCCGCTGGGGAAATGGGGGGGAGGGGGGGAGGGGGGAAGGGAGGGGGGGGGGTGGCTAGCCGTTTTTTGGGAAAATGCAAAGGGAATCGGGTGTGTGACTCGTGGTGGAGGCTTCTTTCTTGGAGATGTCCTATTTATGGTGAGTTATTGGAATTTGCCCAGGTGTTTTCCGAAAATTGATGACGTTGGGCAAACTCAATTCAGGTCCCTTAAGGTGTGATGTTCAGTGATGTAAGAAGCCCTCCGATCTGCTTTGTTTTGGAGTTGGCACCCAAATAGCTTGCTTTAAAAGGAGACCAATGGGAAAACTGTTAGCAAGTTTCATATCCAGTAGCCAGCCGCTTGGGGTTATGATGAATCTTGCTCCTTCCTGTTCAGAATGGAAGAGTCACAGGAGTCTCTCATGTTTGCATAGTTGATGGATCCCTTATGGAAACCGTTCTAATTATTTTTCTTGTTGGCCATGTGTGCCATAGAGGAAACTCTTACCTACACCTTTGAGCGTACTTTCCGGCACATGCGACAAGTGCCCATCTCCGAACGAGCCAATACCAACACTTCAACATTTGATTGAGGATTGGGAATGCTCTGAACCAGACGCAGAAGCGCTTGCCTTTGAATTCTGTATCGACGCATTATCTGAGTTCCCCTGATCCTGCTGGCTGGTTAGGCATGTTCTGGGGGTTTCTCCAGATAGTGCCCCCCGAAGATGGTTCGTTTCCGTTGGTTTCCCTTTAATTGCCAACCAACAAGGGGTCCCAAAACCATTCAGAGAAGAACTATGGTTTGGGGAACCTTGCTTTTGTACCCGCTTTAGGATAACGACGGCAGGTGACAGGGAAGGGTCATGGGAGCACCGCGCGAGGTTGAGGGAGGCGATGTGAACCCTGAGGAGCTGGAGATTCTCGGCACTGTTTTGTTTAGTGAGGCTCGGTATGCGTTTGGATTTGGTGCATCACCAATGGTGAAAAAATGAGAACCACCAGAAGATCCCGTTTTGGAGGCTCGCTCTGAGACACCCCCCCAATTTGTTGTTTGCTATCCTTGTCATTTTCGGTTTGTTAGTTTTTGAGGGAACTGTAAAGGGACACCAGGACAAGACGAAATCCATTCGGGCTCCAAATCTCGAGTTTGACACATTGAGGAAGCTGTGCGCAAGCTGTCGGGCTATCTTTCAGCGTGAGCCGATGCTACTGGAGCTGGAAGGGCCGCTGACGGTGGTGGGGAATATTCATGGGAGCCTTGGACTAGACAAGGTCATCATGCCACCCCCAGTTGGTTTTTGGATTGGTGGTGGGATTTGAGCCCTTGGCTATTGTAGAGGGAAACCACGGGGCTCACAACCAAGCCACCAAATCCAACCACCAACCAGAGGCAAGCTGAAGTCAGAAACCGGGGTCAAGGTGGTCAAGTAATGGCGCCAGTTGGATGAAGTCCTGCTGCCAGAGCCATCTCTAGCGCCGATCCGAGGGAATTAACGAGGTTTCTATAATTTTGGGTGCCTGCGAGCACCGATCCGAGTGAATTAACGAGGTTCCCATAAATTTTGGGGTGGTGGTTGGCAGTCTGGTTTTTGCGTACTACTTTCTTCCAGTGGGAAGGGGGTGTCCGCTTCGAAGCGCTCAAGTCCTGAAGGTGGAAGCAGCCACTTAGGATGTGATTGTGACTTGTTTGCTGTGGGCATCAAAACAAGCAGATCTTGCTTGCGGTGCCTGCCTGAACGATTCTGGCAAATCCACAGTTGCCTGGTTGGAGTGGTGATGAATCTCCACTTTCTATAGCCCCTGCCTGATATGTCCTGTGCCAGGCCACGGAACCAAGCCCAGCTCGTGAATTCCCCGGAAAAACCGGCAAACCCTTGGGCCATAGCCGCGAGTTCGATGTGGGATAGAAGGGTACTCCGAAGAGTCATCGAAGAGAGTCATGACCGTGAAGAAATCCTGCTTCGGTTGGGTTGCGACGCGACATCAATATTCCAGGGACCAACAAAGACATAAGACAATTGAGCCTAAGTCTGGTCAACATGAAGCCCAGCCAGATCTCCAAACAACAGTATCGTCCTTCAAATCTCCACTTAACATGGAGCCCAAAAATCCCTCCTCAAAAGATCAGTCTACCGCTGGTTGAGGTTCCACGTTCACGGGTCAAGAGCAAAAGCACCTGAGGCACCTGGGTTCCACGTTCTTCTGGCCTCAAGAGCCAACTGAGGCACCTGGAGCAGCTCCAAGGCGTCTTCGGGTCCTGCGGCTCTCCGGATGCGGAGAACGCCCCGTACCTCTTCTTGGGGGCCTACGTGGACAAAGGCACCCACAGCCTGGAGGCTCAAAACCCAAATCGGTTAGCCCCCGGTGAACATCCGATGCAATCCCCACTAAAGTAGGTTCTAAAGTGGGTGGCGCACCGAAAACCCCAAAATGGTACCATTGGTTTTGTACCATGGCCAAATATATTCGCGCTTTTGCGCTTCAACATCACCCCTTGGCCATTTTGAGTGAGTCTCTTTTTGAAAGGGGGGTTTTTTAGCCGTTGAGGTGACTTCAAAGGGATTGCCATGTGTGAAGAGGTGCGTTTTCCCTCAGTTTTCTCAGTGGCTTAGGTTTCGGTTTGACTGAGCTTGGTGCTGAGATCTTGGTCTTTTACAGCACTTTCACACCTGGGCCCTGGTGTGTTTGTTTTGTTGCCTTTTGGACAAGTAAGCCACGCAAACATGATGTTTGCGACTTTGCAACTCCGCCCAGGTCGGTATCCAGTCTTGACGTATTAGATTTGTTCACTCATGGCCTTCCGCTCAGGAATAGAATCTTAAGGTTTTGTGGCCAGCACCGAAACGGGAACCTGCAAGGTGGTCGAGGTGTTTCTGTGGTTTTGTACGGATGGTTTGCACGCGATCCATAGATGGTCAGGCCCAGCAGATTGCTCGCGTCTGGGAGGTTTTCGTTGGCACCTGTCAGCGTCAGCCCAACCAAAGCGACTGCGGCAATCGAGCGGAAGATCAGCACTGCCCATACAGGATTTGTTGTGTTGTTCTTGCGCAGGTGGTGTCGCTGCTGTTTGTCCACAAGGCGCAGTAGATCTCGAAAGACCCTTGAGACGTTTTCGCTGTAAGGGTGCGCGGATCCAGGTGATCGGATGCACCTCAGAGTGCAAATTGACAGAGTGGCATTCAAATTCAGGAGTCGAGGGAATCCACAGAGGCATCCACTGTGTTTCTAGAAGCAGGATGCCAAACGCTTGTCAGTTCAAAGATAGGTGCCATTGTGTGAGCTCTATGAGTACTTGGCGAAGGGGTCCCCAAGAATATGCTGTCCGCAGCCTGGCACGTGAGGTGCCTTTTTGTCAGCCAGTCACAGTGCCAGGACAGCTTACGTAGACCTGCCATTCAGCCAGCACGTGCTCCTTTTTCATCCGCACCACATTTGTCAACTCAGATGAGCGGGAAGGCCTTTCCTTCTGGAGAATGATGTCATCACTGATTGAGAGACATATCAGATAATTTGTGATCTGAATGTATCTCAGAACCTGGGTGATAAATAGAAGCCTTTCAGCCATGTCCCGTCTTAGATCTTGATTTTGTCGGGATTTGTCGTTGGCTTCGACTCGTTCAAGTCATCACTGGGCCTGGCAAGTACCTTGCTTGATAGTGTCCGATACCATCGGGCGGTGAACCAACACAAATGAATCAGCACGGATCTGGCCTCGCTTGCGACACGAAACGGATCCGACTTGCGGCACGTTCCTTAAGCTATCAGACTTTAGGAGTAATGTGGACACAGATCCCGACTGTCAATATGCCTAGGTCTCTTGGGGATCCATGAGTTCAGATGTTGGAATTTCGCCTTTGCAGCTGCATCGAAGATTGGTAGCGTCCCGAGCACCGCTACCAAAACACTCGGCTCGATTTCTGGAATGGGGGCGGTTGGGCAACATGGATTCCTTTCGGTTTCATAGCGGTTTGGCGCGCTGATTGCCAGGTGCGGCACCCCGAAAGCGTCTTCTTGCTCAGGAGCAACCATGAGAGCCTCAGCACCAAAGACAGGGTGCTTGGAAGGGTCGCTGCCCGGTTCGGACGCCTTTTTAGTGAACCTTCCATGTGTGTAGGTCCCATGAACTTTGGGGTCCTTTACAAGCAGGCGCAGGGGTTGCCTTTTTTTTGTGGGCTCTTTTGGATCTTTGTACTAGACAAGGCACAAGGACCCCTCTTGCATGCCGGATCCACTTGTATGGCTTGCCATCCCAGCCCTTTTCATGTTTTAACGGTCGAATCAATTGCAATTAGCAGTTGTTGATTACGGAACCTGGATGATAGAGTCGCTGTACCTTCTTTAAGTTGGTCCCTAATCAACAGCCAGGCCTGTTGAATCCCTGCACAGTACAATTTAGCCTCCCCCCCCCCCCCTTCTCCGACGGTTTCCTTCAGCTCTTGTCTCATTGCCTCTGCTCGTCGTTGAGGGATGCTCAGATGAGCCGCATCTATGGCTTCTACGACCAGTGCAAGAAGAAGGCACACATCAAGGTCTGGAAGGTCTACATTGAGGCAGAGCCAACCGGCCGTTCTGTGAGGGTTGGTAGGGCCTCTCCCAGAAACAGTTGCGCTATGGCCATAAAGTTTTGACCTTTGCCTCCATTTTGGGGCGGATGAGCACCCATGTGCCACCGGGGGTACAGAGTTTTTACCCACAGCCATATCCTTGTTCTTCTGTACGCATTGGTTTGGCAAGACGACTTCAACATGAGATTCTGACCCGCCTGCTATCCGTGTTTCACCCTTCCAGGCCGATGTGTTTGTTCTTTTTGAGTTTCTTTAGGCAAAAGCTCTTTTGGGTGTTCACCCTACTTTTGGTGTCTAGACCCGCCTTGAACAAAAAAGCAAAAGCGACCAGAGACTGACCAGTGGGTGCCCGGTGGATTTCAGGTGTTCAACCACATGCCGGTCTGCGCATTGATCAACCAGAAGATCCTTTGCGTGCGCCTTGGTGGTTCCCCAACGTGTAGACGTTGGCATTCCGAGGGATTGATAACACATCCCGCTAAATGTGCAACCTTTAGCGTCTTTGCTTGCATGTTGTTTTGCAGAAAAAGCATACGGTTCGGAGTCCTCGTCTTCGTTCTCAGAAGCTTAACTTTTAGCAGGGACCAACTCAGCGCACCACAGGCTTCATTTATGGCAAAGGGATCTGAATGGCATAAGGGATATGTGACAGCCCCTCCAAACCACTGGTTTGTCCGTGTCCAAAAACCAGCTCGTCGGGGTCGATCCGCGCGAGGCACGGGGGCATCTCCCCCCACCTGCGAAGCTTGGACCTGATCCGTGCGCTTCCGAAGCCGAGTGCGATCCCAGAGGAGGGCCTGCTCTGTGACTTGGCGCCTCGGTGGCGTCTGAGAGTCTGCAGGCCCACACCTTTCTTTTGTTCCCCCGCCCCCCCTCCCCTTCGGGGGGGGGGGTTTGCGGGGGGTTGCGGGGGGGGTTCAAGGTTTGGAAGTCCCCTGATTCAATCCTCATGTAGAGGGGAGTTTTGCCAATGTCACTTCAATGAACCCAGAAGTGGTTTTGGTTTTCCTGAAGCCTGCTGTTTGACTTGCCGAATGGGGATCGGCGCGGCGTTTTGGCGGGATTTTGACTTCTTGGTAGCATATCCCGTTGAAACCAGCTGAGGGTCAGACTGCAAGCGCATCCAGGGTGTTTCTCAAGAAAGGATTTGGTCCCAGAACATGCCAAGGGTTTCCTTTAGGCCTTCAGGGTTCCTTTGGTTTACGACCAATGTGTTTCAAAGTTGGGTCCTTTCCCTTGAAGGTTTTGGCTCCGGTTTTTTGATGACCTTGGGGCTGCGGCTTCGTGAAGGCGCCATGATAACTTGCACCTTTCTTTTGTTCGCGAGGCATCAAGCGGTTCACCTTTGGTACAGCATCTTCTGGTCTTTTGCGCCAGCAACCGCTGCTTGCGGTGTTCAGATTGCCACACAGCGCCATCCGCAACCACCTGTGATGCTGGCCCAACTGTATCGGCCCGTGGTGAATGCCGGCTGATTCTGAGACCACCTTAACCTGGAGTGACCACCTGTTTGTTGCGCCTGCTGCCTGCTGGTAGCGCTGTCTGCTTTTCCAAAATCCCTGCGACACCCTTTCGTCAAGGCCCGCAGGGTTTCTTTCATGGGAGCCTGTCGTGTGCGGGCTTGTCTTAGCCGTTCCTCGACAGCATCTGCTTACCCGTGGCGCGGGCCATCAGCACGACGTGTCGCTGGTCCTTCACCTTGGGATTCCTTAATTTTCCGGTTGGAATTACCGGCTGCAGATGAATGTCTTTTTCGGTCAACGTGAACCTTATCATTTGTGCAACACGCACTCAGCCTCAGAGGCTGCTCCGCGCAGAAGTAGTTGATGCAAAAGGCAACTCTATTTTCTAACAACTTTGCGCCGAGACCCCAAAAAAACAGTGTCACGTCAGGCTTCCCATTTGCGCAGTTGTCAGGAACAAGGGTGTTTTGCCCCCCATCTTCCAACTACAGCCAGGTGTGGTCGGATCCCGCTGAGGGCAGCGGGTGGATGGAGAATGACCGTGGGATTTCCTGCACCTTTGGGGCGGATGTGATGAAGCAGTGTATGGAAGACTTGGGCGTTGAGTTCATTTGCAGGACCAGGTTTGGTCAAGTGCGCTGAAGGCTCCTATTTCCCATTTCGTATCGATGGTTAGCGCTGGTTCGATTGGAATTGCAGTGAAACCTACATTGTCATGTGCAACCATTCTGTTAGAACCGAAAGTCACTGGGTTCTCGCTGCCGCTTGTTTGTATCGTGTAGGGATCCCTTACTTCAGCCCTTTATTCTAGGGCTTCGCCCAATAGCTGCTTTGCTCGGGGCCCCGATCGGGGCCCGACGGTGCAATCGCCATGGCTCATCGCTGAGTTACGTTGCGTTTTGCACTACCTGCTGCTGAGTAAGCAGCGCCAAAGGCTGAAGAAGCCACTGCGAAACATGCGGGGAGTCATGTCTGACTACATATATAGTGTTTCCGGCTTCACCAGCACAGAGCAAGACAGCTTTGGCAACACTTGTCAATCTTGGATTTGTTAAAAGCGCAGCGCGTGAGTGGAGTGGAGTGGAGTGGAGTGGAGCTGGAGCGGGAGCGGGAGGGAGTGGGAGTGGGAGGGGGAGTGGGAGTGGGAGTGGGAGTGGGAGTGGAGCAGAGCGGAGCGGAGCGGAGTGGGGTGCGAAGCGCAGGAGGTGGGGTGGGGTGGAGTGACGCTGTGTGATGTGGAGTTGAGAGTGACGCGAAGTGAAGTGAAGTGATGTGGAGTGAAGTGATGTTTGAAAGGAATTGAAAAAAAAAGCTCGGCTAATTGGATGCTAGTACTGTGCGGGTGGGGCATTCTGCTGAGAGGGTGACCCAATGGCACCGGCGATTTTGAACTTGTTGGTTTTAAAGGGAGGGAGACCCCTTGTGTGGCTTGCAGAGGCGCTTTTTCAGCGCTCAAAGGCACTTGTTCAGTGCTTTCCCGTGCGTTCACTTGTCATTGTGCATTTTTTCATGTGCGCTTGTTCAGCGCGCGCTTTTTCAGCGCCGCGCACTTGCTCAGCGCGCTTTTGTTCAGCGCCTTCGCACTAGCGCTTGTTAAGCGCGCGTTTGTTCAGCGCCTTCACGCCAGCACTTGTTCAGAGCGCGCTTGTTCAGCGCTTTCACACCAGCGCTTGTTCAGCGCGCACTTGTTCAGCGCCTTCGCACTAGCGCTTGTTCAGCGCGCGTTTGTTTAGCGCCTTCACGCCAGCACTTGTTCAGAGCGCGCTTGTTCAGTGCTTTCACACCAGCGCTTGTTCAGCGTGCACTTACTCAGCAATAGTAGGCCTTGCTTTTTCAACAAACCCACTGCTATCCCCCGTTGCTTATTCAGCAAGGAGGTATTAAATTAGGCATTGCTATTTCAGCAATGGTAGGCCTTGCTTTTTCAGCAAGTCCAATGCCAAAAAGAAAAGACATGGTTTGGGCTTCGCTTGTGAATCTTTTGCGCATGTTCTTTTGCGTGTATGTGTGGATTGTAGGCTTTTCAAAATAAAGTCCTGCAGCGTCAAGCGGTCACTTATTTTTGTTCAATTGGGACATCGACTACTTTTTCTGGAAGTGGCCTTCAAAACTGGTCGTTGTCACAATCGAGCAGTTTTCTGAGAAACGAACACTTTTTTTTGTAAAAACCGTGCGTTTCCTACCTGTGAAGCATTTTCGGGGCAGCTGAGCCTGCGTCTCTAGGCACCGCCTAGCTTTGTTGCAAATCCTGAATTTCGTGTCGTTAAGAAGTGGAGCCAGCACAGCGACAGGAATTGGAAGCAAGAATTGACAATTTGCCGTTTTTTTGCGGAGAATTGCGCCCCAAGAATGCCGCAAATCGGGCGCAAACACCCGCAAACGGACGCAAATCTCAAAAAGTGGTCAAATCTAGAATTGCAGGATCACACAAAACCAGCTCTGTTGCCTCGTCAGCTGGCGAACCCCAGGGTTTCAATCCAGAATTATTGTCCAGGTAGGGCAAACAGATCATCACCCGCATGGCAGGCCAGTTGCGGGCCATCGCCTGCAAGGATAGCCACGACCCTTTTCCATAGAATCGGTCATTTTCTTTCCAACTCGGCCCAACCGGCCCATATTTGATCAGTCGGCCAGAAAAAGTGTGACAAACCACATCGAGCAAAAATAAGTGTTCAAATGAAGGTGCAGGGTTGTTTTAACCTCCACATGCCTAACCCAAAATATCGCTAGCTCAAAAATGCTAACCCCAAGCAAGTCGTGGAACCCTCGTAGAACCACCCGCAGCCCTCGCAGAACCTTGTGCAATTGTTGTGAAACCTTAATTACCTGGTGGAACCTTACCTTGTGAAACCCTCGTGGAACCTTACCTCAGGGGGGAGATACCCCAAAACTGTCAGCTGTTTGGGGGAAAAAACTGAGGACCTTTGACCAGTTGACTTTGGGTCCAGCTTGCGAACCATAGCTTTCATGGGTACCTTGAGCACATGATAGGGGCCTGAGTTTGTTGGAGTCGGAACCCTTCATGGGATTGCTCTGAATGACTTGATTCCAGCAGCCTTTTTTTAGCATTGAATGTTGGCTTCGGGCCACCCACCAATGCAACTGGAATCAGGTCAGTCATTGACTCAGGCGGAACAGTTCTTGGTAGATTCGCCAGATCTAGGACAAAGTGAAACTGCCAGGACGTCGACTAAATGATGTAAGGGCTCGCGAGGGGTTGCCCACCAGCAATATTGAAAAATATCGGGGTTGGCTCAGTACAAGTTCGGTGACGAAGAAATCCAAAGCGCGGGTTGGCATTTCTGACGGGAGCTCTGCTGTTGTTTGCTGACGTGAGAGAACTCCAATTTCGTTCAACTCGCAAATCTCTAGTTTGTTTTTTTTTCAGGAGCCATCAAGTGGTGGAGGGCGTGGAGTTCTTTGGGGATGGCAAGCTGGCAACTCTGTGGAGTGTGAAGCAGTTCAAAGGTATGGACACCCCAGGGGTTGGCATGGTGATGATCGTCTCCGAGACTGGGGAGAGACGCTTCGAACCCGTTCGCTAGCGCCGGCTTCAAGGCTGGACCGAAAACATGGTTGACTTCTGTCAGTGGCTGAGCCCAGGTCTTCTTGTCTGACTGCAGGCTGCTTCTTTCCACGGGGTTTCCCCTCAAACACCATCCACTCGTTTTGGATCCATCCTGTGATGCATTGGATTGTTGGCTTCAGGCCACCTACCAATGTAGCCTGAACATACCTGGACCGAGTCAGTCATTGGCTCAGGTGGTTCCACCAGTTCCTTGGTCCAGTTCTGCCAGATTACCCTGAGGATAAATTGATCCCGACAGGGCTTAGATGATGTAAGGCTAAGGCACGTGTCACAAGGCATGTTGTTGTCTGAGATTTTAGGGGATCGGCTTCAGTGGCGAAGACTTTGTACTTTTCAGGGAACTTTGATGTGTATTGCTGACGTGAAACTCCATTTTCATTCAACGCGGAAGGGCGGAGCCTTCCATTTCCAGTTCTGTGAGAACGGCAAGTTCGCAACCCTGGTGGACTGTGAAGTATTTCCGAGAGGACACCCAGAGACGGCATGGTGATAATTGTCGAGCCAGGGGAGAGACTCTACGAAAGCGTACGCTAGATGCGGCGGCTTCAATGCTGGCCCGAGCACATGCAGAGTTCTCCAAGGTGATGCGTGGAAAAAGCACTTCTGCGAATGAGTTGATCGTTTGGTTCTGAGCAGCCGAGAGGGAGCCTGTATGCAGTATACATGTTGGATATGGGTTTCCCTGCAAATTGACAGGGAACCCAACAACAAGGGAGTTCCCGAACAAGGGAGTTCCCCCAAAGAACTTCCTCGAACACGTTTGTTTGGTAGTCTTGTGTAAACAAAAATAGTTGAATGCTGACATGTTTCACCTTGTTGCAGTCGAATTCGGCCATTGAACCACAAACAGGTGCAATGCGTGTTTGCGACACTCCGGCATTCCATTGAATGTTTGGCTCAGATCCTCGAGGAGCTGGGATGTGCATAGGTTCTGTTGCAAGACGTGGTGAGATGTGAACGGATACCGGGACCTGTAACCATGCGGCATTGTTGATCACCTCAACATTGCATGTCAGTTCCGAATGCTATTCAACGGTCAAAACATGTCTAAACTTTGTTGTCCAGTCAATTCAGCATGTCAAGCAGCCATTGGTTTCCGCATGGTTGCCTTTGAGCATCATCCAATAACTGGCAAAACACCGCAACATCTCTCTGATCTTGCACGACCAGAGCACCAAAAAGCCTCTCAGCCAAGCGTGCTCCGCGGGACTCTGGGGAAGTCACTGCGCGAGGCGTGGATGGCCCGTGCTTGCCGGAATGTTGATTCAGTGAAAGCGGTTTGAGAGGTGTTACCCCCGAACATACTAACTGCCAGAGGAAAAATGTCGCACATAGCCACGTGGTTTGGGGCTAGTGGAAAACAACTTGAGACCCAATCAAAATCTCCTTTACATGAACGAAATCGACTTTACTGTTTTGTTTGGGGATTGCAGGGGTGCTCAGGAAGGCGTGGGAGGATGTTCAGCACTTTTCACAGGTTGGCTTGTGTCACGTCTCTTCTCCGAAGTTGGTTTGGGGCAACGCCGTATGCCAGACAGTGCAATTGCCATTTGTCGGGTGTCATGAAGGTGCCAAAGCTGTTCAAATCAAGTCAAATGTCAGGCCTTTCTTCAACAAGCGTTGGTATGGTGATTGTTGGCTGTGTTGCCGATTCGTGAATTAATATGCAGATGCCAGCCCAACAAGTTTCCGTGTAGACTCAGCCTATAGTGTTGAGAACGTCGTCAGAGAGAGTCAACACAAAGCAACGCTGTATATATATATATATGTTTTTGGTAGCCCCCCCCCCGTGAACTACAATTCCTTCTTTCTTCCTAAAATGACGCCAACAACACGGTTTATAATATATATATATAGGAAGCCCTTTGCTTGGTAGGTTCGGCCAATGCACGCAGCCGGTGACGAAGCTGACGCCCTGGAGGCCAGGTAGAGTTTCCACTTCTTGAGTTCCTGCAGTTTACACTAGGCCGTTGTAAGTGGAACCAATTCTTCCAACGGGGCCCTGGGAGCTTCCATGTTGCTTTGGGGGAATGTATACTTTTTGGTATGACCATTTTAGTAGCACACAATACAGTTTGGACTTTTTCTGGCCTAAGTGAGAAAAATAGCGGATTTGTCCTGTGCTTTCACTGTTTGGGGTCTGATAATGGCAAACTTAGAGACGACAAATGCTTCTGGTTGCCCCGCAAAAATGCTTCCGGTGTCCTCGAGGTATCGAAGGACCCAGCTAATTGAGGAACCAACACCGGGTTGGCCGTCACAATTTTGGTTCCGCGCCCAGAAGAAGGTCGAATAACTTTCTGCGACCCCCCACAAAGAATCTATGGTCAAAGGGGGAATACCTGACATGGAGGCCCTGATGCCGTTTGGCAGTAGGGTGACGACTCGTCCCCGAGAAATAAGAATAGCCCAACTCGCCATGAGGCCCGTTTCATCTTGGTTCAGCGGTCAGCTTTCGGGTTACGTACAGTACCCAAAATGCGGGGGTGGGGGGGGAGCGGCAAAGGTTGCTTGATGGGTTTTCCCTTTGCTGCGGCTGAGACTGATAAGGAACAATTGGTTTCCATACCCTTTCCTGGGGTCTCCTCCCACCTATTTCAGAAACTGATATCGTTTGTGCCGCACTGCCGGTGGGCCAAGATGGGCGTGGTGGTGGGTTTGTCTGTTGTTGGTCCCCGCGGTTTGGGAGGCGCATGGCGGCGCTGACCCGCGCCATCTCGGGCGCCGTGTCGTGGAGCGCCGCGCTGCGGCTGCTCGGCGGCGCCGAGGAGCGAAGGAGCTCCTCCAACGCGGTGAGCCCTTCGGCGGATGGGACGGGGCCGGAGGGCCGGGCTGAGGGAGGGGCTGAGGGGCTGGGGGCTGGGGGAGGTGAAACCAAAGGCAAACCAAACAACTTCCTGCCACCTTCACGTTGGGGTTCATTGGGTGAGATTGTGGCACCAGTTGAGCTCGGGAGCTCAATTTTCCCGAGCAAAAGACTCACCCTTTTTCTCATGTCATTTGGGGTAGGAGCTACTGTGGATGGTTATCAAAACGTACCAGTGATACGCTGTGAATCACCCGCTGGTCAAGATTTTGTAACCATCCACAGCACTTGTATGGTCCATGTCGGAGGGGCATCGCAGGGAGTCAGTCTTCCATACCAGGGGGCAGAGAATTCAGGGCAACCATAGGAAGGCTTCCGCAGGGAACCATGCCCATGGCCCACGGCAGTCTGAATGAAGCGACCAAGTGCGACTCCGAAAATGGGGGGCGCTTTCTAAACCAATGTGAAAAGTGTACGCTCAAAAGACGCACAGACACACGCACAAGCAAAGAAGCAAGATGACACAGTTAAGCCTCTGCCCCGAAACCGTGATGTCATTCCCAAACCAACCTTCCAAGCCAAATACGGATGTGGCCATGGGTCAAAATCCCGTTCCCCCTAAGTGAACATCCCAATCCCCACCAAAATAGGTTCTAAAATGGGTGGTGAATTCACCAACCCCAAAATGGGATCCCAAAACGGTTTGGACCCACAGGCATGTGGTTTTGCCGAGGCTTCAATGCCTGCATGAATCGTGCCCGGACCGCGGGGCGGTGGCAGCACGCCGCCGGTCTAGTGCGGCAGATGTGGCGAGCACAGCTGCTGCCAGCGGCTTGACTCAAGCGCTATGGGGTTCAAAGGTCATACCCTTTCGTTTGGGGCGAACACCAAAATGAGGATTAAAGGGTACATACGCCTACGTTGCATTCAAGATAGCTTGAGTGTTGCGGTTTGGTTGCCCTTTGAAGAGTACCTTCGAAAAGTGGTTTCTCTTGGTATCCTTCCTCATTTCCCACAACTTAGGAGCTTTGCGTTTGCGACTTTTGACTAACTGCAAAGCCAAAAGTGACAGGCTCCACAAGTTTGAAGCGACACTTCTCTTGTTGTCCACCAGGCCACATTCAAGCATGGGGGATTGATTAACTTATGGCGTGTCCTAGAAGAGGCTTGCACATCCTTGGGCTGCAAGATCAGTTTTGAGGGTGTACTGCTTGTAGCGTATGTGCATATGTGTGCAGACTTTGAATACGTGATTTGAAATGTTGCATGTGTATGTATATTATATGTGTCTAACACAGATCGACATAATATACAGTATGTTGCATGTGTGATATGTTTGCATACATGCATACATCTATACATGTATTCTGTACATATATATATATATATACACGTGTGAATTGCAGGTGAGTTTTGCATCTCTCACCACGCCCCTAGGACACGGCCAGCTGGGGCGTGCTGGGAAGCGCCCTGGCGCAGAGCCGGCGCTGGCGTCAGGCGGATTGGATGCGGGACCCTCACCCCGAGCCTCCAGTTTACCCTTTGGTTTACGGGACAAAAAGGAGGTTGCGTATCGAAAACCAGGGTCCACGGTGTTTATATATATATATATATACGTATGCAAATGTATGTTTGAGTGCGGGCTGCTTTGACGTCAACCAGTCTTTTGCTCACTAATAGAGGGACCTGATTGCTGAATTGATTCGTCCCGTCTTTTTTTTTGGGGGGGGGGTCCCATACAAGGCAGCATGGCATTGTGCTGCTCTGAGGGTTCACAACTTTGTTAGCTAGCAAGTTGGTTTGCCAGTTTGCTTCGTTGAAGGGGGGTCCTCAGAGTGCGGTGTTTGCGATGTCTCTGGATTCGTGGGGCCGTTCTCAGCCTGGTGATGGGCCAATCTTTGAGAAAGGGATTTGCCAACCGCGTGCTGGATGTGTTTGTTTGATTTGTTTCATGTGTTTTCGCATGGTGCAGCTTCTTTTGCACCATATGGTATATTTGGTCCATCTAAGGTAGCACCGGTTCCCCAAGCCTTTTTGGAAACCATGGGGCTGCAATGGGCTGAACAACTTGATGAGAGGCCGCTTCCGAACGGCGCGCGCGCGCCAAGCAACCATCTCTGTTGCCCAGTGGCCTTTTTTTTCTTGGATTCCACTTTAAACTCAACCAACAAAAGAAGGGTGCACTTTCTTTCTCATGGCCACTGGGCATCTGAGCAATAGTTTAAGAGTCGCGTTGCTCATTGACCAACAAGCATTGTTTGTCTCAGTCTGGCTTGCTGCACGCTCTGGCCACCGGGCAGGTGCATCTATTGAAATCTTCACGACCACATGGCCATGTGGTGAAAGGAGTTCCCTTGAACATTTTTGGCAGACATAAACACACCATGCAAATGATGTCAACCCAAGGGTCTTCAATGAAGCATCAAGCCTAGTATGAGGGGCTAAAGAACTAATTACCATGAACTTGCTATGATCATGACTAAACTCAGTTTTAAGTACCCCCTGTTTTAATTGTTTGTGCCCTTGTATAGCACATGTTTACAAAGTGTGTGTGTGTGTGTGCGTGTGCGCACGTTAAACCTTTGCAAGCTTGCTCGCGGCCAAGTGCTAAGACCATTGTTATGCCTGGTCATAACGTCCTGCGTGGTTTGGCTGTGCCTTTGTCGCGTTTTTGAGTGAAACTTTTGTGAGGGCTTGTTTTCCAGGCAAACCAAATGGACAGCATATGTTTTCGAGGACCACTTAGAAGCAATTCGGTGTTTGGATTGGTACACTCGGAACTGATGTGGCTTCGGTTTGCGAGCATTGGGGTGGAGCCCGATGCGACTTCCTGCCTTGACGCATCCACATCCAAGGACCAAACTTCGAGTTCCCAGCTTGTTCTCCTTGCCTTTTTTGGGGTCATCCAGAGGAGCGCATTCATCCCGATCCCCACTAGTCACCGCACAACTTACGGAGTTGTGGGGGCAGGCGCTGCGTCTGCTGCCGATGTCGGATGGTATCTCTTGCAGCGTGGCCTGGATGGGTTTGCGGATTAGCAGGAAAGACTCACTTTCAACGATTTCTTACTTGTGGAAAGATCGTTTCTGTTGCTGAGACCAGATCAAGGCTCGTCTTTGCCTCTCTGAGTGGTATTTTGTGGGATCGCAGTTTGCCGATTCACAGCCTCCCTATGAGTCATCCCCCCTTCGGTTTTCCTGCTTCTCGGTTTCTTGTTACAAGAGCGTCAGGTGTCCATAACATATAGTCCAAGGATTTGCTTTGAACTTAGCAACCGTGGCTCCCCGTGCTGTGAATCACATGTCAATGTGGCCATGAGTTTTAATAGGAACCACCTCAACAGTGATTGGTGGACATGCCTAAATGATGTCCACCACAGGGTCCCTTGTTAAAATTATTAGCCATGTATCTCAGCTACTATTGCCCTGTAGCCGAATCTGGTTATATCACCCCGGCTCGGCTCTTAGGCCATCGCCTCCGCGCTGGAGCTTGACTGGCGGAAAGCTTTGGGCACGCTGCGGCACATGGCGAAGCAGCAGCATCGCTGGAAGTAGATCACCCCCTTCACCAAAGAGCCAAACGGAATGTAACGGGGGACTCATAAAACATGTCAGACATGTGGTTGTGTTTCTGAAATGTCCCCTGCCAGACTAAAAAATGAAATACAAGGTCAAGCCTTTGCAGGGGGTCGAAGCCTAGGCAGATGCAAAGAGACGTCTTCAACTACAATGCAGTGCTCAACGCGTGCGAGAAGTGCACTGCCTGGCTCAACGGCCTGTTGGTCAACCAGAAATTGCACGAGGCACGCACCAAGAATACGTCCTCATGAGTCCTCATGCAGTTCCACCTTAGGTCATTTGTGAAAGATCTCAATATATCATTTGCATATCCAACAAATATATTCAACACAACTATTTATGCGTGATTTCAGTCACATATGCTCAACACATTGGATGAACTCGGGCTTCGTCCCAAACAAGATTGGGCCTTTTGACCCTTGAGTTCTTATTATACCTGTCTGGTGTTGAGCTACGGAGCTACTACAAAACCAGGTGATTGAAGCCGTTGATAGTGGCTCCAAGCCCACGATGCATTCATATCCCACTAGATGTTGAACTTTTACAACAACGGCGGATTTTTTTTGTTTTGTGGGGCTTTCCCAACAGGAACGTAGTCTTCGGAGCCCTCCTCTCAGCCTCCACGCTTGGAGGCTAAGTCAAGAGGTATGGAGTCAGTGAGCTTTTTGCGGAAGAGCGGGTCACTGGCAAAGAACAAGTCCGTGTTTCTTGTCCGACTAGTCCACTCATCAGCGAGTTTCAGAGGCTCTGAGTCAGCTAAGCCTGTCTCCGAATAGCTCAAGGGGCTGGCTTCCCTTGATTTCCCTTCGGTTTCCCTCAGTTTCCTGTTTGTTTCCCATTGGTTTCCCTTGAGCTTCCTTTTGGTTTCCCCTGGGTTTTCGCCGTTTTTTGCTTTTTTTTTCTTTCTTTTTTTCTCTTGGGTTTTCCTTTGGTGACTTTGGTTTGACCTTTGGTTTCACCTAAGTGGTCCTCCCGTGCCAGGCGGACCTGGCCGATGTGGTGACCTGCAACGGCTGCCTCAGCGCCTGCCACCGCGGAAGTCGCTGGATCCTCGCGTGCCACCTCCTCGCTTCGATGCCTGTCGCACTCGCCGGGTGGGGTGGGGGTTGGGGTGGGGGTGGGTGGGGTGGGGGTCCCTAGAATGACCTGTGGGGGTACTCTGATTCCGGGACACGTCTTTTCTTTTTGATTGGGGGGGAGGGGGGTCCCTGAAAACAATGACCAGCAACTAATGGTGGGACCTGTTGCGTTTTTCTTTTGAAGGAATCCGTTTTCAGGTTGCTTCAAAGGGAAACCAAAGGCAAGCCACCCGTTCAGGCGCTCCTCTATTGGAGACAAGCCCATCTGTCCTTTTGTTTTGTGGTTTTTAAAGATCAATGCTTGGGTCCTCTTCGTCATTTTTCCTATATCCCCGCCAATAGGATGGTTCTGAAAGTCACCTTTAGGGTTATGGTCAAACTCAACAAGCAAGCTTTTGAACTACGTTCAGAATCAACCCTCCCTTTGGTCGCCATGCTAAAGCAACTCGTTCGAAAAGGTGGAGCCTTTTCAAGCAGCACCTCTTGAACATTACCATCTTAAGCAGAACCTGTTGCATTGGGTTTAGACAGAACCTTTTAATGTCACCCTTCAAGCAGTACTATCGAACATCGCCCCTTTCAGCACAACTGTTAAGCATCACCTCTCGGAACGCCACCTTTAGGCATCACCGCAAAGCAGCACCCCTTGCGCATGACCTTCCGACCCGTTAAGCATCCCAGTCACCTCACGTTTGGCAAGAGTGTGCAAAGAACCTGAAACACGACAGGGCCCGCCCGAACGATACCCCAAACAATTCTCGAACAATACCCTTTGTTAAAAAACCTAGGCGCTAGAAGCTTGCGCAGGGAAAGCAATGAATGTCGCTCGACTTTGCCCATCCAAGCACGAATTCTGCAAAACACTGCAAAACTATAACCCCCCCCCCCCCCCGGCCTGAAAGCTGCACGCTTAAAGCACCATTTTTTTAAAAGTATGTCTTGATAATACCTTGGTTCGTTTTGGTGTGTCCTGTTCACAGCTTAAGGACTGTGGACCTGCTGGGCTTCAACTCGGCCCTGGCAGCGAGCGCCAAACGAGGTCTGTGGGTGCAGAGTGTCGAACTGGCGGCTGAGATGCGGCAGAGGCGCCTGGAACCGGAGCCTCTTCCAGCGAAGTCGTCACCTCCCCTCACTTTTTTGGAGTGGCATCACCCTGGTGGCTGTTGAGGGCCTTTTTTCGCGGGTCAAACAGTCGAACCAGACTTTTCAAGGTCCCTTAATTGAGACATGCCCATCTTGTAATTACAGGGTTCCCTATGTCACCCTGAAAGGTTGACCTTAAACATCACCTTTGCAGCCATGTTTAAGCGAGTTTCCTTTTGGTGGGGTGATGTTGAAGGAGCAACAACAGAGACTTGCTGCAACACACATTTGTTTTTCAGGAGTTGCAGTTTTCATCGATCCGGGAACTTCATTGGCTGTTCGAACCTTGGTAAAGGCCCCTCCCGGCCCCGCCCCCATTTTGGGAGGGTGTCCCCAATCGCGTGTCGCCAATCAACATGAGGTTCAACGTTGCTATATCCGAGTTTACATGGCAAGCAAGGGGGATACCAAGCAAAATGCCGTTTTCAAATCATCTCCGCCCTTCACGCAGCTCCGAAGAGGGGGTACTGAAATCTGTGTGCAACACGCCGCGCTTGCTCGCTCCGAGGATGCCTACTCTCACAGCTCCATGGTCAGCGCTTGCGGTGACTGGCGACATGCGCTGTGTTTGCTGAGGCGCCTGAGCCTTCCCTGTGCTCCGGCCAGCAGTGGGAGGGCGGTTACATCTACAACGGGTTCTTTCTAGGAATCATTTGGTTTAAGAACGTTTACATGGAAACCTCGACACGGGCTCGCCTAACTTTTGAGCATTAAATTCGCGATTGGGGAAGCGGGGTCTCACTGTCTCACTTCACAAGTTTGTGGCCCCCATACATGGTGTGAAGACCATGTTGGTGGGAAACACAAATTCATGTTTTATTGAGCATATTTTCTTGGATGTTTCTTGTGACAGTATGTTCAGGAACAATTTGCCTTGTGGTTCTTGGATGCAACACCAGCTTCAAACTCTACATAAGGTGCTTTTGCCAATCGTTGGGCTGGGATCCAACCTCTGATGAAAAAATCCCATGTGTTTCAAACCAGGATGGTTGGTTTCTGGACCGGAGATAAGAGCGATGCGCCAACCCAGACCAACTCAGGACGAGCCTCAAAAGGAACATCACGGACATGTTCCGCCTGGCCCCTGTTTGAAGAATGTTCTGAGGTCTGGAGACTGCAACAAGCCACGCCTATGGGGGATTCCCAGAGAGTCACGCCATGCAGTACTTCTTGCGGAGGATATGAACAGCAGTGCCATGCCGTTTTCATTCCGTTTCTGTTGGATGGCTTCCCCACGAAGACGCGGTACGTCCACCCAAAAAGCGGTTTTCCGACCTTCGGGTCGCCGGGGTTCTGAGCCGCTGATTCCTAGGCCACAACGCTGCGATCGCCAAATGCGCCGAAGCGATGCAATGGGAGCTGGCAGTACGATTGCTGTCCCAGCTACCTGCTCCAGAAGCTTGCCTGCGTTGTGAGATGCACATGTGGGGAATGTGTGAAAGGTAATCAAGTAGCAGAATGCGCTGTCAAGCACAGTATCAGAGGGCGGAAGAGGGGGAGGCGTTCAAAGGGAGCATGGCACATGGTGGGTCACGTTATCCCAGAAATGTCGCTTTGCAGCAAAGCGGGTGTTGTTTCTTCAGGCAGTACATTGTAGATTCTTGAGTCATCCAAGCTGCCGGGTTCCCCTCCTGAAGGTTGTTTTGGGGTAAAACCATATGCCGATGCCTGTTGAAGGGACCATCTATCAGATTCCATGGTAGGAGGAACACTGGATGTGATGGATGATGCACAGAAACAAAAACCTGATGCCTCATGGCCTCATGCAGTGAACAACAGTCTGCCAGCCCCAACTCAAATGAATGTTGCCCCTGCTCTGAGAGCGCACCTTTTTTGTAGCTCAGCCTCTTCCAGCATTATTGATCCTAAAGGAGTCTCCCAATTGTTCTTGAGAACCCCAAACGGCCCAAGCGGGTAAATATTGGGGCCATGAGAGAGGTTGCAGCCAGAAATTCTGCCAGAGCTTAACCTCAACCCCAAGCCAGGGTGAGACTTGAGTCATGCTGACTGCCAATCCTGAAGAAACAATATAGTATTTGAGCTGCGTGAAGTTCGGTCAGCCAAGTCTATGAACGGATAGCCAAATGTGCCATTGGAAGTAGTACCAGTACCCCAGTACCGCTTGAAGACAACACACACAGTGTGTTTGGCACTCATGTTTGGCAGTTTCCATTTCTGAGCATCCCACCATATGAGCCACAATCACAACCCGGGTAGACGAAGGTTAGTAAGGGGCAGTCCCAGCCGGAAATAGTTGCGGCCGCCTTTCTACTGCTCTACATGGTTCTGGGTACACCATTTTTGTACCAGGTTTTGATTGTGACTCATATGTGTTTGACTGTGAGTTGGCATATGCTGTCTCAGGCTTGGACAGTGTTGCCTTCTTGATGTTGGTTTGGCAAGTATGCTAGAAATCTTTGTGGACTTCTCTGGACGAATAGGCAAGTGCTTTGAAGCTCTATGCATCCGAACTCCTTTTATGACTGCTTGTTGCGCATGTTTGTGGTGTTCTTGTAGTCTGTTGTTATTTGAGTGCCTCGGTATTTGCTTGTTTGATTCCTACTTGTGGAACGTAATTTGGCTGATATGCTTTCCTTAGAGGGATCTCAACAGTAGCAAACACACGGTGTCAAGGGCGAGCAAAATTATGCACACTGCTGCATGTTGCCGAAACACACCTCATAGAAACATTACTGCATGGGAAAACCGGTACTGTACAAAATCGAGGCGTGTTGCATCACCCTGCCGCAAGATGCATCCTTTTTGCTTGATACCCCCTCTACTTCCAAAGATGTCCCACATGGGTGTTGCATATTTGTGGTGGTAATCCTTTATGTTTGCGCATGTAATATGCATGTATGTATTCACTTCCTCACAAAGTGGGGCCTGCGATCTTGCCCATGAAGAAGGCTCGCTTTGGAGGAATTCCTGCCTTTCGATTGGTGAATTCATACAGTTCACGTGTATATATATATATATATGTATTGTGTACACTACTTAGGTATCACGCATACTTTGACACGTATATTGACAATGCAACTACACGCAGATTGCAACCTCTTCCATCCTCTTGTTTTTTGGCCGAGTCGTCGTCTTCTTTTGCTTGCTTTTGCTTTTTGGCATTTCACCCAACCTGTTCCCCATCCTCTTGTTTTTTGGTCGCGTCCTTGTGGTTGTTTTGCTTGCTTTTACCTTTTTCCATCCTCGTTTTTTTTTTTTTTGGTTGCTTTTGTTTTGTTTTCTCTTTTTTCCCCCGGTTTTTTGGCGAGTCATTGTGGTTGTCTTGTTTTCTTGTTTTTGTTTTCCCCCGGGTAAGGACGTGATCAGCTACAGCTCCGCGATGAGCGCCTGCCAGCGGCTCTCCAAGTGGCGCCTGGTGCTGCACCTCTTCGCCCAGCTGCGGCGATCTCCACGCCTAACGAAGCAGAGGGACGCGGTGTGCTTCTACACGGCGCCTGGGCAGCGGGCGAGGCGACGGTTTGGTCGGGGAAAAAAACCGGCAGGGGCCGCAAAAGTGGTGGTTGGGAAATATTTTTTGCGGTTTTTGCTTCTTGTGGTTTGGTGGTGGAAATCCAACCACTCAACTGCTGAAATTGGATCTTTTGCTCCCCTTCCAACGTCAACCAAGCCAACATGTGTGCTGTAGATCAAAACCAATGGGATCCCATTTTTGGGTTTTCGGTGCACCAATTTGAGTGGGGATTGGGATGTTCACTGGGGGTACGGGATTTTTGACCCATGGCCATGTGTGTGCGTGTGTTTTCCTTTTCGTTTATTAGTCTAGGCCAACCTGAATCACAAGTCGCAAATCCGCACGGTCATGGAAAATGGGGCTGTTTCTCGGCGCTTGCGGTAAAATTGGGATTGCCTTTGCCATGCTTGTCAGTGAATCTACAGTTCCCTGCCAGGGAAAGCCATGGTTTGTAAAAGCTTCCTCCAAAGGAACCGTCCGAGGGTCCGATGCGGAAAGTTGGGTTTGTGGCTGCCGCTTTCTCTGAGGGTCCAAAAAACCCTCTCCTTTGTGATCAAGTAGCCATGGGGGATGGGGCTGAGCCACTTTGGTATCACAGAACAGCGCGACGTTTGGCCATCCGGCTCCGACCCTGAGCTCAGGCGAAGGGGATCTAAGAATCACGTTGGCGTGGAGCCACCAGAAGGTCCGGCCCACAGCACGCAGCACTTGCCCCGAGTTGGGGAACTTATACAGAAGCAAGCATATAGGCAAAGCTTGCCAACACTAAGCGTATTGGCCTTTTCTTAAAATGGGGACAAGTACCAATTGAATGGTTTCATTTTTTTCTATTTACAGTTGGGTGAAAGGCGCAATCCGGCATTTGGTCATTCCCTGTACATACCAAAGAGCCTTGTACCATCTAAATCTCAGTTGGATTTCCCGCGGATTTCCACTGAGGCGCTGTCAGCCTGCGCCAACGCCCAAAGATGGCGCCACGTGCTGGACCTATTTGAGGACATGACGCGGGCAGCTCTGGCGGACCAGGTGAGTCGCAGCGCCCCGGAGAAGTTTCAAGCCGAGGTCCTCCTCATGGTTTTGTCCTATGCTTCCAGCCGTTGCTTGTTTGTCACATTGTCATGTTCTCCTAAATGTCCCTAGAGTTCCTTGCATGTCGAAATCAATATATTTCTGACTTTGTTTGTCTTTCCAACTCAACGCTAAAGCAAGGCGGTAACCAGTTCGCCCCCTCCACTGTTTCTGCTTCCGGGACTTCCAACGGTGACCAAGGCGCCGTCCTGGCGGCGTGTGAGGCTGGGGGCCAGTGGCAGAAGGTCTTGGACCTCATGGACCTCCAAAGCCGAGACGTGGTGGCCTGGTGCGCCCTGGCGGGGGCCTACCGAGCCTCACGCAAGTGGCAGCAGGCAAAGTCGAAGGGGGGGGGGTTGGTCCTTTTGAAGGGGAACGTGGGCAAAGCGTTGGGGGGGAATGTGTGAAAATAAAGGGGCCCCAAAAGGAAACAAACAGAAGAAGAAGATGGGTTTCTTTTTGGTCAAGGTGAAAAGGGAACTTAACAAAAACACTCACACCCATATTCATTTCACCCCCCAAACGCGTGATTCCGGTTTCCTAAGGCCGCACTGGCGGGGGGGCGCTTTTGTGGGTGTGAACCGACGGGAGCCTAAAGCAGGATGTTGTTTAAGCGAATGCCCGACAAAGCGCGGGACGATTCCTGCAAAAATTCTGCGAACAGACCCATGGTTGTGCACAAGGGATCCAACTTTAGGCAGGTGAAACAGGTGGCAGTTGCCATGGACCAATAAGAAAAGGGAAAACCAACAGTACATATGCTTTTTGACGACAGTTTGAGCAGATTTCAGCCGGTGTCTTCTCGGTAATTATTCGACCGCGATAGGTGCCTGTGGCGTTTCAGCGGATCGGTGAGCTGGCAATCCACAATGTGAGACGCGCCAGACCTCGCTTGAAAACTCGGCCGTACATCTTTGCGCGCAAGGGGCACGTTTGGTCATAGGAATCCCCCGTCACAATGCATCTCAAGGGGTCCAAAAGTGTCCCGTGCCGGGATACAGCTGCGCAAAGGACCGGCGGCTGTGCGCCGTTTGAGACTTCTCGGATGATGGGAGTGAAGATCAAATTCAGCTTGCATGTCAACCAAAACACGTTGTTGAAGGGCTCTTGAATTCCAACGTTCGGACTTGCAAAGCCAAGGGGCTTTGTCTACGAAACTGTGCTAATTGCCCCCCAGTCCTATATATAGGGGCTGCCCTCATACGGCCTAGATTTATTTAGTTATTTAGTTATTTATTGTCATTGTGTTTGTTTGTTTGCTTGTTTGCTTGGTTGTTTGCTTGTTTGTGTGTGTGTGTGTGTTGTTTTTTTGCCGTTTTATTTTCATGTGTTGTTGTGGTTGTTGTCATTATCTTACGTTAGCATCTTCATGGTTTCTTTCTTGCTGCCTCCGCTTGGGCTCAAGGCGTCCATGCCCCAAGCTCTCCGCAGCCCCGCAGCCTTGCCAGGCCAAGCGGCCGCGGTGGGACGGTGAACAAAATCTAATGCCAGCTGCTCAATCCAACAACGTGTGCATGGTTTCATCTGTCTGGCAACTGGAAGTATTGGAGAAAATATGGGTTGCGTTGGTAATATGGCTGAAATATCAAACAATCTGGTCGGTTCCATTTGCAGGGTGTCATCCATCCGAACTGGTGCAGGATTTGTTCCAGCCACAGCACTTCTTGATTTTGAGTAGATCCTTTTGAGACCGGATGTCGATTATGACTGTGGTAAGCCGCTAATCTATTTGCCGACGTAAATGTGCATGCCGGGGTCGCTGCCGTCATTTTGAAGCCGGGTCTCTTCTTGTTTGCTGTTGGTTTGGTGCGTTGGGATGTGTTCAAGGATCCCTCTGAAGGGTTCCAGGTTGGTTTTCTTTTAACTCTCCAAACCATGGTTGCGGAAGCGTGGTTTTAGTGCAAGTGACCAACAAAGCACGGAGATAGCACTTTGATATCACGGAAAATGATATTTCCATGTCACAACCACAGTCCAAACAGTGCTCCTGTCTCGTCTTGCCTGCCCCGCCTTGGCCTGCATTGGCGCCTGTCCGAGCAGGCACTTCTGAGCGCGAGCGCCGCGCAAGATGCCTTTGGTGACGGTGCTCACTGATGTGGACGGCCTTGTGGCCAAGAAGCAGGAGGCGCCCCTGTCTGCTACAGAAGACCGGGGAATTTGCAAGTCACAAGATGTGGCAAGCCAGCAAATGGCAACTTCACACAGAGGGACCCATGTGGTTTAGCCGCCACCTGTCGGTATCATTTGCCGCCCTCTTCTGGACAGTGGGGTGTGTAAAGGTGAAGTATAGGTTACTCAGTGTGAAAATTCAGGGTCCTGGGCCCTGGCTCACGAGGCTTTCTAAAAATCGGAGATTCGTTTCTAGCGCGGGTCAACAGCTTTGCAGAGCCCTGAGCGTCAGACCTGTGCTGAGTTTCACCTTTGGGATGTTGCTTTAGGGGATACTCTCTACTGCACATGAACAGCCCTCATGTTCCATTTGGAGCGGATCGCTCCGCGTTTTGATATTCTATATGTGCAAGGGTGAATGTGAGGCTTGCTGAACATGTCCAGTAGTCTATGGTCCCTTTGGAAGGGACATGGGAAACACTGAGTTTGCCATGGAACTAATTTCCCCATATCCAGAAGGGCAAGATAATGTTTGTATGCGGCTTATGTGGCGAGTTCTTCCTCCCCTTGGGCGGCACTTGTGGAGGTTGATTTGCAAGGGTCCCTCACAGGGATGTTTGGAGTTCTATAGATTCCGAATGATTCCGAGGGGAACGACTTTGTTGTGCCATCTGTTTGTTGAGCTGCAACGTTTTCAATAGTGAAATCGACAAAGGCACGGTCCAGAAAACGGGGGTTGGTGAGCCTCAGGGTTCCTCTGGGTTCCTTTTGAGGTGAGCTGTGAGGCTTGCTAATGCGCAAGTCTGCCGCGCAGGTGTGCGGGATGGTTCACGATGCTCTGGCCTCGAGTGGAATGTCAAATGAAATCAAAGCCGCTGCATGTCGAATGCTTCCTTCTGATTGGGGGTTTGGATTAGGGCTTCCCATTTGAAAAATCCCCAAACCACCAATCCAGAGCATAAACTAGGTTGCTCAAACCCTGGGGGGGTGCCAGTCATCGACTTCAGGCGTCCTTCAGATTTTAGGACAAGAAGACCCCCGAGGAACGCCGTTTGGTGAGGGTCCACTCATTGCCTAGTCCCTAGTCGTTTGGCCCTATGCGCAGTCGTTCTTTTTGTGGAACAGTCCTTCTGTAAGATCGGTTTCCCACTTAGTTGCCGGACTTTGCGCTTGTTTTTTTCTTCTGGATGTCCTGGATATTTAATGGCCTGCGGCCTGGTTCCGCCGCCCCCACACACCTTAGAATTTCGGCCCGGGACGAGAGAAAGCACGCGATATGTAGACAGACACAGACAGACACAAAGACACACAGACAGACACGCGGGGGGGGGGGGACACGAAGAAAGACGCAGATACGTAGACAGACACAGACAGACACAGACAGACACAAAGAGACAGAGACAGACACGCAAGGGGTCTTCGCGGACACGAAGACAGACGCAGACAGACCCAGACAGACACAAAGAGACACAGACAGACACGCAGGGGCAGGGGGGGTCTTCGCGGACACGAAGACAGATGCAGATACGTAGACAGACATAGACAGACACAGGGGGGGGCGGAGGGGTGGGGGAAGACTACCCGAAGCCTAGGGAAGAAGCCCGAAAGCACAGGACACGCGCGTTGTTTGGTCCCGAAACAGTATCGGAAGACTAGGAGAAGAAGCCGGAAGATTACGGAAGACTACGGGAAGAAGCCGAAAGATTGCGGAAATTTACGGGAAGAAGCTTGAAAGATTTCGGAAGACTACGGGAAGAAGCCGGAAGACTACGGAAGACTACGGAAGACTACGGAAGACTACGGGAAGAAGCCGGAAGACTACGAAAGACTACTGGAAGAAGCCGAAAGATTACGGAAGATTACGGGAAGAAGGCGGAAGACCACGGAAGACCACGGAAGACTACGGGAAGAAGCCGGAAGACTACGGAAGACTACGGGAAGAAGCCGAAAGATTACGGAAGATTACTGGAAGAAGCCGGAAGCCTACGGAAGACTACGGGAAGAAGCTGGGGGGAGGGGGGCGGGGGAGGGGAGGGGGGGGGGGGGGAGGGGGGGAGGGGGGGGAGGGGGAGGGGGGGGGAGGGGGGGGGGGGGAGGGGGAGGGAGGGGGAGGGGGAGGGGGAGGGGGGGAGGGGGGAGGGGGGGGGGAAATCCAGAATTCCAGAAATCCAGAGATCCAGAAATCCAGAAATCCAGAAATCCAGCAATCCAGCTGACGTAGAAACCAGCCCCAAGGGCCGCCCCAAGGGACATATAGGTTATATATATATATATATATATCTACATAATCATATTCACATTAAACTTATGGAAAGCATATCAACAAAAGCAACACAGAACACACCGCCCCCATGCCGAAAGCATGGTCCATTCTGGACCAGGCATGGGGTCGGCGGATTTCAGTCTTCCGGCCCAACTTGTTCAGTCACTTCCAGTCAGCTCTCAGCAAATCGGAAGCCAGCCGAGGCCGTGAAGTCCGCACTGGGCAAGCCCGACCAGTACATCACCGTAGCCCTTATGAAGGCAAGGGCGATCCGCTCAAAGTGAGTCCACCAAAAGCCGACCCCAGGTTTGGTGCTTGGCCGGAACCGGAGTGCGGCAGCTTGCAAGTTCAATCGCCCAAGTTTGATTCGCCGACTGGCAAAGTCTCGCAATGGCCAGTTCCTGCAGGGTCGCCTACGTATATTTGCCGTTTTGGTTGTTTCGTGTGTTTCAACACCGCCCTGGGCCAATTTAGATCGAAGTATCCTTTGGTGTGTTGAGTTGTCTTGTCCCGCCGCGCAGGGAACGCTTTGGCAAGCCACAGGGCCTTGGGCCAAAGGGGCCACACTCACAAGCAGGGCGCCCTCGATTTCTGCGGTTTTCCGTTTCCGAAACAATAGAATCCAAGATGGTTTCCGCGGCCTCCAAACCAATACCCCAAGTAAAAAGCGGGCAAGTAGTATGTCAACTCCTTGGAATAGCGGCTATGGTTGTATATCTCATCAACCCCCCGAATAAGAAACAAAATGTTGGGTAGAGGAAACCGTCGTACCTGAATTCTCCATGACCCTCCAAAATAATGGGTGGACACATTTTTGAAGGGTCATGGAGACTCCAGGTAGGGTCACCCCCAAACCATGAGACCATGTTCCCAGCCGACCGCCCGGGGCTCAGCCATTCGGCCATTCGGCCAGGCGGAGTGCGTCACGGTGGCGGGCAAGGAGGCCTCAGTGGCGCGGGAGCTCAGGGACAAGATTCGGATCCTTTTTCTCTGTCTATATGTTGAATGTGTATAATACATATATATATACATGACATGGATGGAGGTTTCCTACAGTATCTATGATTGACATCCTTCAAATTTGGTCTCTAAACGGTGAGTTTCATGGAAGCTATCCCGGGGCACAAAAGGAGGTTGGTTGCCCCAAAGTAGACTTGAAGGCAGGGTTTCTCACTTTAAGTCTACCTTGGTAGGCAAGAAACGGACTTCTGACACAAGCTAAAGCATGGTACAAATCCGTTTGGTTTCCTCTTAGAACAGCGCAACAATAGGGAGACACACCCATATCGAGGGGCCCCAAGCAGGGTGCTTTGACCATTGGTTGATTTGACTCTTGGCTGACACTTGTTTATAGTAGATCCACAAATAATGATATTCCTAGCAGCATCTTCTTCGTGCAGCACTGGGGTCTCTTTTTTTCAGGACCCCCCTTATGCTGGTTTACACCAAAAGTACACCATTTGTGTTTTCCCTTTTTTCGGATGCAGGTGTTCGCATTCTGGCATTTTGTAGTTTTGGGGGTGCTCCAGCACCTTGCAGCCGCCGGGTATTTTTCCGGGGGCTCCATCACCTCGGGCTTCCCCGACCGAGGTGGTGGAGGTGGACTCCATCGGCGGGGACTTCGGGGCGCTGATGGGGACCATCGCCAAGGGCCTGGAGCCTTACGGCGTGGAAGCCTCCAAGGCGCCCGCCTCTCGACGGCTGGGCGGCTGGATCGATGTGTCGATGTGTCGATGTGGCAAGCCCTGGTCCACTTCGGCGAAAAGAAAAAGCTGGGGCTGGCCATCACAATGGCTTTGTGGCGAAGGTAGGGCCGGGTTTTGTGAGAGTCCCTTGAAGGTGCTAAAGTAGTCATGGGAAGGACCCATGTTGGTAGCGCAAAAAGCAAAAGGCGGTCACAGCCATTGTTTGAATAGAGCCATCTTCTACATCCACTGCGTGACTCAGGGGAGACTGTCGACACCCTTCATGTTTGGCTCTGTCCAAAGTCGCGGAGTTCATCTTTGGGGGTTTAGGAGGAAAGCCACAAACATGTTTCAGAAAGTAAAAGCAAATACTACTCAAATGGCTGGCAAAGGCTTGGCGAATCATCTGCGCAAGTCTGCCAAGATTGTAAAATGAGCCCACATCCATCTAACATGACCTGACTTCCCTTACATAGGCAGCAGGCGCGTGTTTTGAGGGGGCGGGTGCATATATAAAAGTGTGTGTATGTGTGTGTGTGTGGCCTTCCGACCATCTACATTGAACCTACAGGCCTTCCCAATTTGAGCCTGCCCAAAAGTCAACCTGCATCACCCCTCCATTTGTTTTGGCGAGCTCACCGATGTGGGGGTACGAGCAGCAGGATGTACGTCCTTTACTTGAAGAGCCCTGATTTCACATGTTGTGAGTTTTCAAGACCCATGCTACACCAGTTCCACACCGCGGACCAACCCTAAACCAACCACAAGCCGCTCAAAACCACTCCCGCACCAACCTGAAACCAACATAGGGGCGAAGAGCGCAGAGACCATGGGGCGTTGGGTGGCTCGACCATGTCTATGTTTATACATATTGATACATATGGATATACAAGCAAATTTATGTCACATATTCGATTCATAGAGTATAGCCCATGCCGCCTGTGCCAGGTGACGGGAACCTTCAGGGGTGTCTCCACCAAGGCTCGCAGAGAGCATGCAAATGTGATAGTGTCGCATCCCGTGAAAGACTTGCAGGTAGGCTTCCACTTTTGACGACGAAGTAGACTTATACCCAGCCCTTTCGTAAAAGTCGGCCCTTTTGGAAGCCTATTTCCGCTGCAGTGGTTGGTCTACACCTATACACCCAGTTAGCCAAAGACAGGTGTATTGTTCGTTAAAGTCAAACACCAAGAACCCAGTGTCCCTTGGCCCCATGGCCCTTTGGCAAGTGGGTAAGAGAGTATCATGCATTGTCACGGTTAAACTAACTGGTGTTTGTTTTGTTTTGCCAGTGTCTCGCATGGGAAGCTCGGTTTGACCATGTGACCAGACGTGTGGAGGTGTCCCACGAACCGGTGATGTAGTTCAATCTTTCAGGGTGTTGCAGCGAGCATGGCTCTCCAAATGGATTTAATGTGCCAAGGTGCGAGGGTGCAATTTGCATGTGTGCTACAGTGGGGGTGGGGGGACGTGTTGCTCGCACGTTCCTTCCCCCGTAAGGCTTCGAGCAGGGCGGGATTTCCAAAAAGCCACGAACCAGAGCGAGGAAGCATGCACCCACTTTTGTCGCTCAAGCCACTAAGCATTGGTGTTGCCAACATGCATCATTTGAGGGACAGTGTTTTGGCGGCTTCTTTTGGCACGCGTTTCGATTGCACATGGGCCCAGCTAACAAAGAACAGGGATCCAGAATAGATGGTGTGACTTGGACGCCCCTTTGCCAGGAATTCGCCATGAACGGCCGGCCTCTCGCATGAAGTGAGCATAATGACCCAACAGCTGGTCGATAGACTCGTAGGCTCCATTTTGGAGGAACGCGGCCAGGAAAGGCATATGCTGGGCTGGGTCGGAGGAGGATCATTTTTCCAATAGAACTCAGTAAGGAGTTGGAGCCAGGACTGCCGTTGTCGAAGCAAAGTGCCAGGTTCAATCAGGGCAGGTTGGGATGTGTTGCACCAGCCAGAAGCAATCAAAGGAAACTTGAACAGTGGCCGAAAAGGGAAGTGGCCTTTGATTGGCCAATAACTTTGGAATGAGTCACCAACCCGAAACACAGATGCCTTGATGGCCGGTCAAGATACAAGAGCGAATCAAGCTGCCATCCCTTACATTGGCGCCGACATGAAATGCAAACCGTGGACGGTTGCTCATGTCGACATGGACAGTTTTGAATGGATCCCAAGTTATAGCAACCTACGTAGCCTACGGTAGGTTCATTTTGGATACTCTTAGGTGGATTACAACGAATCGTCAACCCAGATAGGTAGTGATCTGCTTTGCTGAGCGACATGCATAGCCTTCTGGCATTTCATATACCCCCCGGCCTGAAGCCGCTGCACTTGGCTCGAGACAAGCGGAAGGAAGCTGCATGTGATTCGAAAGCAGCCATCTTAGCGTTTTTGGATCAACTTTTGGCAGGTGACTCCTATTTCTGGCTGTGAATGACGTGGAACAAATGTTTACTTCCCCAGACCTGCAGTGCTGCAGTGGCTAGGTGACCAGTGGCGCATGTTTGGGATTTATCCTCACGACACATCCTTGACATACGAATTCGAGGACTGCAGTGCGGCAGCCGAATGTTCGCGGGGATGCTTCACAAGGAATATCAAGAAATGGATTAATAATATTTCCTCCTTGAAGGCCCAACCATCCCTTCCGTTCTATGGCGGTGACAGACTTGTGCCGGCCTCAGCAAATTCTGGGCTGTTCAAAGGCAATCGTTCATCCTCACCTTGGGTGATGGAAGCGGTCTTGATATTGAGTTCCCATCAGGGATTGACCTCCATTTTGAACCCCGGTATTTTGTTCAGTATCCATAAATTGTGCGGCTGGTTTGCTTCACGCTCCAGGACAAGGGTATTCTGACTGGCGGCTTTGCCTTGAGGGTGTTCTGCCGATGTGTTATCAGGGACACACGAGTGAACGTACCTGCAAGCACATGTTCTGGGATATTAGCTATATAGCCTTACATATAGATTATATAGTATTATATGATATGAATTATATTGTGTGATTATTATCATATATATTATGCTGGTTTATCATATCTTACATTGTATCATATGTTATGTTATGGTATAGCAAATATGACTTGTTTAAATATGACTTGTTTAAATGCCATATTGTATTGTATTGTATTGTATTGTATTGTATTGTATTGTATTGTATTGTATTGTATTGTATTGTATTGTATTGTTATGTCGTATTATATGTTTCTTGTTGCATGATATATTCTAAACTATGTTTGGTTGTTGTTATGCCATATGGATCTATGTTGTATGATATATCTGGTTTGTAACACGCATCAGTATAAATCGATTTCTACATACTTGTGTCATGCCACACGTTGAATTCATTTTGCTGCGTGTCAAGGTTAGCTAACTATGGACCGGAATGACAGATCTCGAATCTCATTCTTGGCAAAATGAGCTGACTGAATCAGCGGCCTTTCGGCTTCCAGTGACTGGAGGCCGAGCCTCATCGCTCAGATGAGCCCGGCTTTGGGCACTGAAGGAGATGCGTTTGGCTCGGCGTCGGACGCGGGAGAGACTGGGGAAAGTCACACTCTCCCAATGTTTCTCGTGATTGAAGGGCTTCGCAGCCCCCGAACAGAAGCCCAAGAAATACAGTCACTTAGGACTCAGAGAGATTGTGCCATAGCTTTCTGAGTGCATGATTTAGTTATGGTGGCACGGGGAGGTTGGGGTGAAGTTGGTTGACTTTGTCCTGCCATGGGTGTGAAGAAAGCAGCACAGGCGTTGCACACATCGGCGTGGTGCATTGTTGGAAGCAGATTCTCCCCACACTTGTCACGGGGGCTGCAACCAGGAAAGCTGTGGATGTAGTTGCAAGCCACCACAAAAGTCCAAGCCGAAGGATAATTCCCTACACATCCGTTTTGGGTGTATCTAAACATCACCTGTTGGTCCAATGTAGAGTGATTTTGCCCTTTGTGGTGTGATGTTCAAGGGGGAAGTATGGGCCCAGGGCTGACCCAACTGACGGTTGGGACTGCATCCCGCAGCTGTTGAGTCTCGAAGGTAAAGGATGCAGAATTTGGTATTCGCCGGCCCTTCCAAATTAATTGCAGAAACAATAGCGCTTGAAGTCCGCATTGGGGTACCATTGACTCCAGACTCCCTTCCTCGACTTGCTTGAACGAAAATGGACCATCAGACACCCAGAATCCATTGGAGATCAAAAACAACATATCGGCAACTACATTTGGATGCTGGCTTTCACATTTGGCAACCAACAAACCGTCTCACGCAGAATCAAATGATGTAAGAACTCTTGGGTTTGTTCCCATCAGCCAGTTACAGAGGTCGTGGTGAGTCTCAATCTCGCATTCCACTAACTTCAGCATCCCCACCAAGCCACCTCCAGCAACAAGGCTTCAAATTCATTGTGATTTGCAGGGCCAACAGGGTTTCCGTCTTTTACATTTGAATTTATGGTCTTTCTGCATGTCAGTAGCTTCTTGCAAGGCCTTTGGGTTTCTGCGCGGATCACCGCGCCCCACACGCTGCGCGGATTCGATTCGGGGATCGGGTCGGCCATGGACTTCGACAACGAGTCCCTGCTGCGGTGCTTTGTGTCCGAGGAGGAGCAATGCATTTGTATGTGTTGATTTGGTGTTGTTGTTCGTGTTCCCCCCCAGCTTCTAACAGAGGGTATAATATACAATTTGTTTGATTTTGTTTCATCTTCCCACTGGCTGTCTTTGGTTTCCTTTGGTTTGCAATCTCGAAACCCTGAGGAGGAAAAAGATATCATTGCCTGGAACAAGGAGAACGGTCATGACCGCTCCGACATATTCGAGTTCCGCGCCTCGGACAACTCAATGGGACTTGCATGTGGGTGTGTCTGTTGAATAGGGGTTCCCCCTTTTCGGGGTTAGTTTAAAGGGAAGCCAAAGGAGAACCACCAATCTTGAGGGTCCCCCTATTTGACGCATACATATGTGTTTGTCTTAAAGTCAGGGACACCTAAATTGGTTGTGGTTGTTTTTCCTGAAAAAAGACACCCAAACACGAGTCAGTCCTCAAAAGCATGACACAACTGGAAGGAAAGCAACATGATGCCCGCCTTTGAACGCTACCCCAGTTCAGTGGAGGAGGCAAAGCCCTCTTTGCCCAATGGCCACTGTGCAACTCGGGAAGTTGAATGCACGTAGGATTGACCCTTCTGCAGTCTTGAAGCAGACGCCAAAAGGCCAGTTGTTGGACAGCCCCAAATTTCACCACAACACACCCAACCACACACACACACACAGGCAACACTATGATTGCTTGCCCTGGTGAAGCAATTTGGCTCGTAACCAGTAAATTCAACTTGTTGCAGGATCAGTTTGACCAGACAAGCCCCAATTGGGTCCCTTGGTACCTTTCAAGGCATTGGAACCCTTCACCCCCCCCTCCCCCGGCCCCCGGACCTCCCCGGAGAAAGAACTCTCCACCTCGAAGGGTAGAGGGAAGTGGCAGGCCTGGAGGCGGCGGACAAGCTGCGGGAGGAGGGCAACGAGCTCTTCAAGGCCGGAGACTTCGACACAGCGCGGCAGCGGTACCTTGGAGCCGGATCTGTCTCATGGGTCTGCCTATGGTGAGCAGTTCCACCGATTCATGATGTAGGTCCTTTCAACATTCCTTATTTCAGGTCTTGGACTTGTGGGATTTGCAGATGGGTGGTTTTCTTAGTGGCCCTGGGTGTTCGACACAGCCCCTTGGTTGATATAGCCGAACAGAAGGGTCCAGCCATCAGAGGTACAGCTGAGAATCGGAAACCCGGAGATGCGTCCCCAATCGAGACAATTCACCCTGAAAGTAAGGAACCCAGCCTGAAATTAAGCCAACAATTGAGCCACTCGACGATGGGTTCAAGGGAAACATATCCATGATCATCCATTTGTCTTAGCCTCACGAACCGGATTCTGGGCAACTGACATCGCTAGGGGTTTGAGATTTCAAAGGTTCGCTTCATAGGCTTGCGTTCTTTGACTAGTAATATGGGTGTGTCTGTTTTGTGGGGCACCCGTTTGTGGGCGCAAATTAAGGAAAATCAAGAGGACAGTCCAATTTGCTGGGTTCCCTAAACAAACAGACAGACCCATATGAATTATTGTATGGCAGTTTGGTTTCGCGAAATCTTACGACCGAGACGCATTTCGCTCGAGGGATATGCGCAGTATGCCTCGGAGGGTAGGAAATCGGTTTTATGTGGGTGGTTCTCTGTAGTGAAGCCCCCTGTTTCTATGGGCTCAACCATGTGGCCTTGGGGTAGGTGCCCTTGATGTATTCCGCATGTCAACACATGATATATACCACAATTGAATTCCAATTGCATAGATTCATGGTTGTTTCCTTTTGGAGGCCTCCCTTGTTGGATAGTGTTTAAATGGAACAACTGGCACCGAGCGTGTTCATGGTGAACGTTAGGGTTTGACTGGCATTTTGCGAGTCGACCCTTGCACAATGCTGAACACTGCCCACGTTTGTATCATTTCCGCAACGCGATCAACTTTTAACTTGTTTGTTTGACTGGTCAACAAAGAAGGCCAGGATGGAGAGGGGATATGATGGATCTGTCAACACGAGTTGGACCGCTCTTGGGACCATTGAAAGGACACACAGACACTATTCGTACCTTCCGAAGGGTAGGGTGCGAGATATTCGATGCATGCCTGGATGGGAAACTTAGGACATCACAAGTTGGTATCCTTTTCATTTGGGCTATAAAGTACGAATTGTTCTGGGCAGTCAGCTCAGCCTATCCGAATGTTCTTCGAACCTTTCGTGAAACGTGTGTGTTTCCCCGTGAACTAGGCAGCATAGAGCTAGCCAACCACAGGCAACTAGATGGGTGTCTGCAAGCCCTCTCAACGTGTTGGGAACCTTTACCCTGCACTCCTGTCAACTTGTCAACTGCAAAAGGATAATGCAACTTGGTGCTTCTCTGGGTGCCTGTATAGTTGGTTGGCCTGTTGTTCACACGTTTAATCTTCGGCTACGTCCCTTTCAACTGTCTTACGACCTCATCGTTCCTACTCAACCTGTTTGTTATGCTGGCTATACTCCTGTCGAGTAGCATGATGTAGCCAGTCTTCCCACTTGTCAAAAGCCAACCTGTTTGCTTTTGGTCAAGGTCTAAGGTTGGCCTTTTATTTCCATATTTTAGTGCCTCCGGCTCAGGCCGCCGACATTACAGGCCTGCTTTCTTATTTGCGTCCCTTTGGAATTGTCCCCTTGCCCCCTTCCCCTCTGAGATTTTTGCCCCCCTTTCTTTGTTGAGATCCATTCCCCCTTTCCGCCCGAAGGCCTTTTCTCCCTCTGTTTTTTTCCCCTTTTCCTCCCTAAGATGTTTTCACCCCTCTCCCTGTTGAGATCCTTTCCCCCCTTTCCCCCCTAAGGCCTTTTCCCCCCTGAGATCTTCTCCCTTTGCCTCCCTAAGATCTCCCAGATCGTCTCCCTTTCAGGGAGAAGATCTGGGAGAAAAGGACTTAGGGGGGAAAGCCCAACAGGGAAAGGGGGGAAAAGATTTAGGAAGGAAAAGGGAGAAGCTCTCAGGGGGGGGAAAGGCCTGAGGGGGGAAAGGGTGGGAAGGATCTCAACAGGGAAAGGGGGGAAACAATCTTAGGAAGGAAAAGGGAGAAGATCTGGAAAGGCCTTAAAGGGAAGGGGGGAAAGGATCTCAACAGGGAAAGGGGGCAAAGGATCTTAAGGAGGAATAGGAAGAAGATCTCAGCGGGGGGAAAGGCCGTAGGGGGGAAAGAGGGGAAAGGATCTCAACAGGGAAAGGGGGGGAAAGATCTCAGTGAAAAAGGGAGAAGGTCCCAGGCAGGGAAAAGGCCTTAGGGGGGAAAGGGGGAAAGGATCTCAACAGGGACAGGGGGCAAAGGATCTTAGGGAGGAAAAGGGAGAAGATCTGAAAAGGCCTTAGGGGGAAAAGGGGGAAAGGAGCTCAACAGGGAAAGGTGGGAGAAGATCCTAGGGAGGAAAAGGGAGAAGATCTCGGGGGAAAAGATCTTGGGGAGGACAAGGGAGAAGATCTCAGGGGGGGGAAGGCCTTAGGGGGGAAAGGGGGGAAAGGATCTCAACAGGGAAAGGGGGCAAAGGATCTTAGGGAGGAAAAGGGAGAAGATCTTGGGGGGGAAAACGCCTTAGGGGGGAAAGGGCGGGAAAGGATCTCAACAAGGAAAGGGGGGAAAAGATCTTAGGAAGGAAAAGGGGGAAGATCGCAGGGGGAAAAAAGGCCTTAGGGGGGAAAGGAGGGAAAGGATCTCAACAGGGAGAGGGGGGAAAACATCGTGGGGAGGAAAAGGGAAAAACTCAGAGGGAGAAAGGGCCTTAGGGGGGAAAGGGGGGATGGATCTCAACAGGGAAAAATGGCAAAAGATCTTAGGGAGGAAAAGGGAGAAGATCTCAGGGGGGGAAAGGCCTTAGGGGGGAAAGGGGGGAAAGGATCTGAGCAGGGAAAGGGGGGGAAAGATCTTAGGGAGGAAAGGGAGAAGATCTGGGGGCAAAGGCCTTAGGGGGGAAAGGGGAGAAATGATCTCAACAGGGAAAGGGGTGGAAAAGATCTTAGGGAGGAAAGGGAGAAGATCTGGGGGAAAAAAGGCCAACAGGGACAGGGGGGAAAGATCTAAGGAAGGAGAAGCTCTCAGGCGGGGAAAGGCCTCAGGGGGAAAGGGTGGGAAGGATCTCAACAGGGAAAGGGGGGAAACAATCTTAGGGGGGGGGGAAGATCTTAGGGAGGAAAGGGAGAAGATCTGGGAGAAAAGGACTTAGGGGGGGAAGCCCAACAGGGAAAGGGGGGAAAAGATCTTAGGAAGGAACAGGGAGAAGCTCTCATGGGGGGGGGGAAAGGCCTTGGGAGGGAAAGGGGGGAAAGGATCTCAACAGGGAAAGGGTGGGAAAGATCTTAGGGAGGAAAGGGGGGGCCCCTTTCCTCCCTAAGATCTTTCCCACCCTTTCCCTGTTGAGATCCTTTCCCCCCTTTCCCTCCCAAGGCCTTTCCCCCCCTGAGAGCTTCTCGCTTTTCCTTCCTAAGATCTTTTCCCCCCTTTCCCTGTTGGCCTTTTTTCCCCAGATCTTCTCCCTTTCCTCCCGAAGATCTTTTCCACCCCTTGCCCTGTTGAGATCATTTCTCCCCTTTCCCCCCTAAGGCCTTTTTGCCCCAGATCTTCTGCCTTTCCTCCCTAAGATCTGGAAATGAAGGGGGGAAAGGGGGAAAGGATCTCAACAGCGAAAGGGGGGGAAAGATCTCAGGGAGGAAAGGGAGAAGATCTGGGGAAAAAATGCCTTAAGGGGGAAAGGGGGGAAAAGATCTTTGGGAGGAAAAGGGAAATCTTTCTCGGGGGGAACAGGCCCTAAGGGGCAATCGGGGGACAGGATCTCAATCGGGAAAGAGAGAAAAAAACTTTGGGAAGAGAAGGGTGGAGATCTTGGGGGGAAAAGGCCTTAGGGGGGAAACGGGGGCAAGGATCTTAAGCGGGAAAGGGGGGAAGAGATCTTAGGGAGGCAAAGGGAGACGAACTCAGGGAAAAGGACTTAGGGAGGAAAGGGGGGGAAAGATCTTTGGGAGGAAAAGGGAGAAGATCTGAGGGTGGGAAAAGGCCTTAGAAGGAAAAGGGGGGAAATAAATGATCTCAACAAGGAACGGGGGGGGAAAAAATGGTAAAAGTAGGGGGCCTGGGGGGTGGCCTGTTGATGGTTGCCTGTTCTGGTTTTTATGTTAATCTCAAATCTGTGTTCCCCCTTATTCGTTTTTTAAAGAGGGTTTTTAGGGAGCTTATTTATCGTTTTCGTTAAGGTAATCATTTGGGTAAATTGTCGCCTTGTTCATTGTTGGGCTGGGGGCAAACATTTTTTTCATTTGAAAGAGGTAGCCCTTTTAGTAGTTATCAAGTTCTGGGGAGTTGGTGGTGTATTTGTTTTGTTAGTATTTTTCTCACTAATGTTCATTTATAGGTTAAAAGTTCAGTATAATTATAACATATAAGATTTTACATGTTATTATTATATTATGATTATAATTTCAGTTCAGGATAATAATCTAATTGGTTTGTCTTACTTCTTTCATACATCATTTTAAAAATAATATTAACATCTCTCACTGTATTCTGAACATTAAACTTTTTACTTTCAATAAATAATTTGATATTTTCTTTAACATCTTCTCCTTTCTCTTGACTATAACCCAACATCCATAATATATCGTAAATCGTGTCATATTTTTTCTTACTGATTTTAAGAAACTGTTTAACATAATCGTAAGGTGGTATTTTATTTACAGTTAGAAATATTAAAATATCATCTTCTACATTTCTATTATGTATTCTTTTTATTCCCAACAGACATTTGATTAAAAATTGATTATCTCTCCAAGTTTTACAATTTTTACATATGTCTTCTTCACCATCCATTGAATAATTAATAATATTATTCACTATTTCATTAGGTAAACTCAATTTATACAATTCCATATTTTCTTTTTTGAAGTGACAACAATCATAGCATTTTTTATCGATATAATTTTTGATTTTATCACCGTTCATTTTCCTCTTA